TTGTTTATTTTAAAATTATTATTTAATTTTATGCTTCCCTATTTCTCAATTTGTATTGCCCATCTGGTCCTGGGGAAACCAAGCAAAAGGCCATGACTGATCGCCCATGGGCTGCTGAGCTTGATATAGAAAAAGGCTACGCACGGTCGGGTCTAAAATTTTTTCAACTATGCCTACCCAATAACATTTAACTATATTTTTTTATTTTAAACATAACACTTATTTTGTAATGTAATTTATATTATAAAACAAATTTTATGATTAGAATCCCAAGAGCAATTAATATTTATAATCTTGAAAATTTTAAATTACGATGATCAAAATGGCCCGAGAACTTAGAATGCTTAAAAAAAAAAAATTTCAGCATGATTTTCTCCTATTAAATATGTGAATATATTTTTAAAAACTTCAAATGTTATAACAAACTCTTTCAAATATTTTCAGTATTAAAACATGCTAAAATAAGTACTTAATTTAAATTATGATGAGGTCTCGATTTAATATCAACTTTTTTTAATAAAATTTTGAATTGTCATTTGCCCTTAAACAAAATATCAACGCAAGATTTTTATTCACTTCTTACAGCTGCGTGCGTGCGTTTTTTTTTTTTTTTTGGTGTGTTGGGGATCACATGTGGCTTGGATGAGTAGAAGCACAAAAGGCCAAAAAACATCAAAGCCTATGAAAGAATCTGTGAGCATACCAACAACAAAGAAAACAAAGCCCCGTTAAGAGATTAGATCTAGTAGAAAGGGCTAGTCTCTCGCAATATGACGAACTAAGGTTTGAATCTCCATTTAGAGAAGTGTACACATTTAGTACCCAACAGTGTCTCAAATAGGATTGCCTCCAACAGAAGGATACCCATACTTTAGCAAAAAAAGAAAAAGAAAAAGAAAACGATCGATATTCTTGGCGAGGCATCAATCACCGGATCAGGCCAAACAAGTGCTGATTACTTTGTTTTTTCTGGTGAATAAAATTTTAGGAAAGGGATTTGATTCACTAACAATCTAAAAACAGGACACTTAACTCTTGACACCAGCGCATCCTGCCCAACATTGTAGCTTAAACTGGGATTTATAGGCTGGAAGCTTTGGCTTTGGAAATGCCTCCCTTAGTGTCGCGACATGCTCTACGATTGAACATACCATATCAGTGAACGTGTCCAACCCTTTTACTAGCTAAACCCACGAACGAGGGGTATCAAATACTCTTATAGTGGTTCCATACGACATTTGTTGGAAAAAGATGGATGATATTTAGATTATGTCATGATTAATTAAATTTTTTTAACATTATTCTTATTTAAACTCGTTAACCACTCTTGTTTAATTGCCATGATATGACTAGAGACTACTTATAGACACAGAAGGTAGTAGGCGATTGTTACGCTTTTAACCATCTTCATGTCCCAGGAAAATCAAAAAAACATCTAGCTGGCCTTCGGTTGCAGGATGGCGGGCTACCATGTGGCAATGCCACGGCATGACGTCACTGCTGACGCATCATGTACCCCACCCAGTTGGCCTTCACCCGGGAATTAAGTCATTAACAATATTCTTAAAAAGTGTTTATATTTAAATCAAGATAAAATTCTTTTCATATATTTATTTTATATTTTATAAAATTATTTTTAAAATTATAGTTTGATTTATATAGAAATATCTCTTTAACTATCTTCTACTCTAGGTTTCAAGTTTCAAGTCCTAGTAAGGAGTAACATCTTCAGATATTGGGATAAACTACTTAAATATCACGAAAATGTTTGACATTTACAGAGGAAGAGACAATATTTGAAAGTTTTATATTTGGAAGCTTTTTTCTTTTTTTACCCTTATAATCCTGAAAATTTAGTTGTATAACAAAAATATTTTTACTATTATTTACTATTAAATTTGACTGTCAATAAATCAGAGCAGAAATATTACAAAATAAAACTTTTAAAACATATAAAAAGCCAAAAAATTTCAGGTGATAAATGCTCTTTCGCGGATACTTCCAAAATATTTAAACACATTATTCCTAAAATATTTTTGGTTTATCTAGTATTTTTGTAAGTGCATCTAACATACTTATCTGGTATATTGTAAAATCATTTCTTAAAAACTAATACAAAACCCAACTAACCCTTTTAATTCTTCTACTCCTTTTTCCCCCCTTAAATTTTAACAAATTAATGCTCTCTGCTCAGTAAGGAACCCCTTTTTTTCTTCCTGTTTGTTCTTTAGGAAATAGAATTTACACCATCCCTTTTTAAGAGAAGAGAAGACGAGTGTTGAGCGTCAACCAAACACTCCCAACAAGAAATTTTCCATTCTATCACTTCTAAACTCGGTGGGAGAGCGATGAGAGCGAACGAGTCGAGCGATGGTGAAAGTGGGTCGAGTGATGGCAATGGAGGAGGAAGTAACGTTAGTGGCGATCTCAATGAGGACGCAAACGAGATAAACTACTAGACAACGCACTTTTCCAAACAATACGTGAACTTCTGGTTTCAAAAAGATTAATATAATTTTTGGTTTTTTAAATTTATCTTTATTTTAGTTTTCATCCCTCAAATTTCAAACCAAAAGTTTTGGTCCCTCAAAAGATAAAATGATTCAAAATTTTATTAGATTATAAAGATTAATATTATGAATGAAAAGAAACTTGAAAGATCAAAACCCATAATTTAGAATTTGAAGAATCAAAATCAAAACGAAGACAAATTTTAGAGGCCAAAATTTGTATTAACCCATTTCAAAAGATCAAATTTCCAAGAACATAAAGGAAGATAATTTTTCCACAGTCCTGATACGCATAATACATCAAACGATATGGATAATTCAACTTCCCCACATAGGAGGTCCGTAAATACATTATTTACCTGAGAATCCGTACCACAATCACATGCTACTTTTAAACGCAAACATGCGGTAGAAAACAAACGAAGCATACACATAAAATCAACCAAAAGAACGATGCCAAACTGGCAGAATGGTACGGAAACTCTTAGTCTCTGATGCCAACATTTATAATACCATGTATATCATATTTCCTAGGTAAGATACTACGATATAACCAAAAAAAGGCAAACGAAAAGAAAAGTAAGATATCTTATATGGTTCACGAAATTACTTAGATGTTCTGCTTCTGCCATCACCCTCTGTTATCAGATCATTGAAGGTTCCATTACTAGGGATCATAGGCAGGACATGCTCTTGATGGGGAACAACAACATCAAGAAGATAGGGGCCAGGAGTATCCAACATTTTCTGAATTGCTGCTCTAAGGTCCTCTTTCTGGGTCACTCGAGCTGCTGGCACGCCGCAAGCTTCAGCAAACTTCAACATGTTTGGGAAGATCTCAGTCTCCTTTGATGGGTTTCCCAGATATGTGTGAGCTCTATTAGATTTATAAAACCGATCCTCCCACTGAACAACCATGCCCAAGTGTTGATTGTTCAACAACAGTATCTTAATTGGGAGATTCTCCACCTTTATAGTGGCAAGCTCCTGAACATTCATTATGAAACTTCCATCGCCATCAATGTCCACTACGAGAGTGTTTGGGTTAGCCACAGCAGCCCCAATCGCAGCAGGCAATCCAAAACCCATAGCCCCAAGACCCCCTGATGTTAACCACTGTCTAGGTCTCTTGTATTTGTAAAATTGAGCCGCCCACATCTGGTGCTGTCCTACTCCAGTACTTATTATTGCTTCTCCATTTGTCAGTTCATCCAAAACCTGAATGGCATACTGAGGAGAAATTTCTTTCTCAAATGTCTTGTAACTTAATGGGAATTTGCGTTTTTGCTCGCCCAGCTCCTCTCTCCAAGCTTGAAAATCAACTTTATCTTTGATTCCTTTGCTCTCTAGCATCTGATTAATGGCCTTCAAAGCCAACTTCAAATCTGCACAAATGGACACGTGGGGCTGCTTGTTTTTTCCAATCTCAGCTGAATCAATGTCTATATGAACGATTTTAGCACGACTAGCGAAGGCTTCAAGCTTTCCTGTCACCCGATCATCAAACCTTACCCCAAATGCAAGCAACAGATCACTTTTATCAATGGCATAATTAGCGTACACTGTCCCATGCATTCCAAGCATTTGGAGGGAATGTTCGTCAGCAACGGGATATACTCCTAGACCCATTAAAGTACTAGCAACAGGGATTCCGGTGAGTTCCACAAATCGCCTCAGTTCTTCGCTTGAGTTCATGCAACCACCGCCAACATACAGAACCGGCTTCTTGGAGTCCAATATCAACCTCACAATCTGCTCTAAAAGGTTCCAATCCGGCGACTTGGGAAGCCTCGCCGTGTATCCCGGCAGCTTAATCGGTTGGTCCCAGTTAGGAATCGCAAGCTGTTGCTGTATATCTTTTGGCACGTCGATTAATATTGGGCCTGGTCTGCCAGAAGTAGCTAAGAAGAACGCCTCATTCACAATCCTAGGAATATCGTCTACATCGAGAACAAGATAATTATGCTTCGTGATCGATCTTGTTACCTCAACAATGGGCGTCTCCTGGAACGCATCAGTACCAATCATCCTCCGAGGGACTTGCCCTGTTATGGCGATCAGAGGTACGCTATCAAGCAGTGCGTCAGCGAGACCACTGACCAGATTGGTGGCGCCAGGACCGGAGGTGGCGATGCAGACTCCGGGAAGGCCGGATGAGCGCGCGTATCCCTCGGCGGCGAAAACGCCGCCTTGCTCGTGGCGCGGAAGGACGTTACTGATAACATTAGAACGCGTAAGCGCTTGATGGATCTCCATTGAAGCACCGCCGGGGTAGGCAAAGACATCGGTAACGCCTTGGCGCTCAAGAGCTTCAACGAGGATATCAGCGCCTTTCCTGGGCTCGTCAGGGGCAAATCGGGAAACGAAAGCTTCCGGCTGGGAGGCGGTGGTCGTGGGGCCAGTAACGGAAGATGCGCGTGCTGGTTTTGCGCTTGGTCCGCATGGATTGGAGATGGAGCTGGATATCCGAATACCGGGTGAATGAACAGCCTTCTTCGAGATTGAAGAAAATAGGACGGGCAGGTGTTTCGTTGAAGTTGAAGGGAAAGAAGAAGAAGATGACGATGCAGAGAAGAAGTGCTTAGGAGCCAAGGTCGCCATTTCTCACAGGTTGAAGTTGAATCTGAATCCCTGAATTTATAGCGGTGATCGAGAAACGCAACGGCGCCCGAGGCGCTTAAGGTCCTTAATTGAAATTCTCAATATTAGGGCTTCATCGTTTGTGGTTTATATTCCATGTGTCCCCATCAAATTTATGGGGGGAAAAATTATACTTCAAACAAGTTAATACATTTTAAATTTTAAGATAATTTTTATTGTGATTCATAAAAACATGTTTTTATTGTATATATTGTATTTATGAGGTTTACTGCCAAATTTATACACATACACAAGCGGGAAAATGGTCTATTCCCGAAAAAGGAGTCTTTTCTTTTCCTTTTTCATTCACCCCCCTCTTCTTTTTCTAATTTTTAGATTAATATTTCAAGGTTTATATTTTAATTTTTTAAAAGCATTACTAAAATTTTAAATTATAAAATAAATAAATAATAAATTCAAAATTATTAAAATTTAATGTTCAATTGTTTACAAATAAATTTTAAAAATTAAAATATTTTATAAATAAGTTTTAAAATAAGTAAAATACGAATCATTTTTTAGCAAAAAAACGAATCATTTAAATGTGTCAATTTAACTATTAGAAAACAAGAGATGACAAGAGGACGGGATGGAAAGAGGAGAGATTGACTTGAGAAATTCTATTAACTATATTTTACTCATTTAGTTTGTTTATTTTAAAATTATTATTTAATTTTATGCTTCCCTATTTCTCAATTTGTATTGCCCATCTGGTCCTGGGGAAACCAAGCAAAAGGCCATGACTGATCGCCCATGGGCTGCTGAGCTTGATATAGAAAAAGGCTACGCACGGTCGGGTCTAAAATTTTTTCAACTATGCCTACCCAATAACATTTAACTATATTTTTTTATTTTAAATATAATACTTATTTTGTAATGTAATTTATATTATAAAAAAAAATTTATGATTAGAATATTAAGATTAATTAATATTTATAATTTTGAAAATTTCAAGTTACGACGATCAAAATGGCCCGAGAACTTAGAATGCTTAAAATTTTATTTTTTTGGGCATGATTTTCTCCTATTAAATATGTGAATATATTTTTTAAAAACTTCAAATGTTATAACAAACTCTTTCAAATATTTTCAGTATTAAAACATGCTAAAATAAGTACTTAATTTCAATTATGATGAGGTTTCGATTTAATATCAACTTTTTTTAATAAAATTTTGAATTGTCATTTGCCCTTAAACAAAATATCAACGCAAGATTTTTATTCGCTTCCCACAGCTGCGTGCGGGCGTTTTTTTTTTTTTTTTTTGGGTGTGTTGGAGATCACATGTGGCTTGGATGAGTAGAAGCACAAAAGGCTGAAAAACATCAAAGCCTATGAAAGAATCTGTGAGCATACCAACAACAAAGAAAACAAATCCCGGTTAGGAGATTAGGTTTAGCGGAAGGAGCTAGTCTTCTATAATATGACGAACCAAGGTTTAAATTCCCGTTAGGAGAGATGTTCACATTTAGTGCCTAACAGTACTTCGAATAGGATTGCCTCCAATAAAAAGATACATATGCTTTAGCAAAACCAAAAAAGAAAACAATCGATATTCTTGGCGAGGCATCAATCACTGAATCAGGCCAAACAAGTGCTGATTACTTTGTTTTTTGGTGAATAAAATTTTAGGAAAGGGATTGGGTTCACCAACAATCTAAAAACAGGACACCTAACCCTTGACACCAGTGCATCCTACCCAACATCGTAGTTTAAACTGGGATTTATAGGCTGGATGTTTTGGCTTTGGAAATGCCTCCCTCAATGTCGTGACATGCTTTAAGATTGAACATACTCTATCAGTGAGCGTGTCCAATCCTTTCACTGGCTAAACCCCCAAACGAGGGGTATCAAATACTTTTATACTGGTTCCATGCGACATTTGTTAGAAAAAGATGGATGATATTTAGATCATGTCATGATTAATTAAATTTTTTTTAACATTATTCTTATTTAAACTCGTTAACCACTCTTGTTTAATTGCCATAATATGACCAGAGATCGTTTATGCTACTAATAGACACAAAAGGTAGTGGGTGATTGTTACGCTTTTAACCATCTTTACGTCCCAGGAAAAGAAAAAAAACATCTAGCAGGACTTCGGTTGCAGGATGGCGGCTACCACGTGGCAATGCCACGGCATGACGTCACTGCTGACACATCATGTACCCCACCCAGCTGGCATTCACCCGGGGAATTAAGTCATTAACAATATTCTTAAAAAGTGTTTAGGTGTAAATCAAGATAAAATTCTTTTCATGTATTTATTTTATATTTTATAAAATTATTTTTAAAATTATAGTTAAGTTTACATAGAAATATCTCTTTAATTATCTTCTACTCTAGGTTTAAAGTTTCAAGTACTATTATTTTTTTCTTGGCCAAAAGTTTCAAGTACTATTAAGTAGTAACATCTTTAGATATTGGGATAAACTACTTAAATATCACGAAAATGTTTGACATTTACAAAGGAAGAGACAATATTTGAAAGTTTCATATTTGGAAGCTTTTTTCTTTTTTTATCTTTATAAGTCCTGAAAATTTAGTTTTATAACAAAAATATTTTTACTATTATTTACTGTTAAATTTGACTGTCAATAAATCAAAGCAGAAATATTATAAAATAAAACTTTCAAAACATATAAGAAGCCAAACAAATTTCAGGTGATAAGTGCTCTTTTGTGGATACTTCCAAAATATTTAAGCACATTATTCCTAAAATATTTTTGGTTTATCTAGAATTTTTGTTAGTGCATTTAACATATTTATCTTGTATATTGTAAAATCATTTCTAAAAAACTAATACAAAACCCAACTAACCCTTTTAATTCTTCTACTCCCTTTTTTCCCCTTAAATTTTAACAAATTAATGCTCTCTTCTCAGTAAGGAACCCCTTTTTTTCCTCCTGTTTATTCTTTAGGAAATAGAATTTACACCATCGCTTTTCAAGAGAAGAGAAGACGAGGGTTGCGATTGAACCCACTTCTGTTATAAATAAACACCGTGACCTTCATTTTTCAAAATCTTTTTAATATATTCTCAATCTGAATGCCCGAAAAATTCCCGGGTAATGAATATAGTAATAGTTTTTTTTTTAATCAAAGCTTAAACTGTGTAGCTTGATTGAAGACTTATGTCACAGTGCTCTTAAAAATGTAATATTTAGACTAAAGTATACTTGTGGTCCTTTAACTTTGTATAAGGTTTCAATTTGATCCCATAACTTTAAAAAGTATACTTTTAGTCCTTTAGCCTTAAATTTTTTTTTCAAAAAATGATGACATTAAAATCTTAAATATTGATAAAATATTTTCAAATGCTACCATATTAAATTTAATTTTCAAAACATTCATGATTATTACAAAAAATAATCATTGAATCCTAATAATTTTAAGGTTAAAGGACCAAATATATGTTTTTTGAAGTGAAGGGACCAAATTGAAATCTTATACAGAGTGAAAGGACTAAATACATACTTTAGCCTAATATTTATTATATTTTGATTCAAAATTGATAACAAAACTTGTATGAAAAAAGATACTACCTCCGGTTCTATTTATAAGAACTAGCTGACTAGTTTGAAGAAACTAAAGAAAGAAATTAAGTTAGTTATTTGTAATAAATACATGTTGTCTTTCCTAAAATATCCTTACTAATCAAGTGTATTAGTTAAAACTATTATTGTTAGAAGGACTATCTTGGAAAAATATATATAAATATAAGAGACAAAGTGAATTGGGTTCTTATATTTAGGACCAAAACAAAAGTCAAACAAAGCCTTATATTAAAGACTAGAGGTAGCAGTAAACTTTTGGCAGAAAAAAAATTGATAACAAAATTATAAAATCATCACAGACGCTCAAGTAATGAGGGGGGCATGGGTAAAAATTCAGGATTCAAATCTGTCTGATTAAGAAAAAGGAGTCACCCAATATATCAATATAAAATTCTATGCAAATTGCAATAAAATATAACTAAATGCATAAAATTTTGTTAAATTCTGCCGTCAATTTTTTCATATTCGATGCAGTCGAATTTGTCATAAAAATGCAAAGTAAATTTTATTATGACTCAATCACATAAAATTTAAGCGTATTTTAATAAACCCTCAAAACATTGCCACACAGTAATTGGTCACTTACGTGGCAAATTTCTGAAAATACATACTGAATGAAAACAATGTACTCTATATGTGCGCGCGCGCGCTCTGAATGATGAATAAAATATGTCAAATATATATGTAGCACAAAATCATGAAACTCGCATATTAAGGTTAGTGTCCAGAACAATCTTGATTTGGCGCGTGTCAATTTGTGTTAATTTCGATTTTGTTTAAAATGATGTGATTAAATTACTAATCAGCCAGCTAATCATTGCTTTTAAATACTACTTATGATCCCTTTCAAGGTGGACACATGGATGATATGACTCATCTCATCAAATTGAACGAATAATATAATGTCGTTTACTTTATTATTTATGGACAATTAAATTCATATATACCTAGCGTTCAAACTTCAAACGTCATATATTTATTGTGTCGTTTTTTCTCCTTTTATTTATTGTTTGCTTTAATACTCTTCCGGTTCTAAATATAAGATCTTTATAAGGATTTTATATTTAGAACCGAAGGAGTATTTTGTAATGAACGAAGACGAAGTAAGACAAAAAGAAAGAAATGAAAAATTATTTCAAAAAACTAAAGCAATAAATAAATAGCACGTGTTATTGGTTTAAAAGGTTATTTTCAATGAATACGATGCCTTATATATGTCGTCCGTTTGTGTTCGTATTGTAGAACTCTTATTTATTGGCCAATTAATTAATTAAAATATATAAAACGCGTGTTTATAAATTTATATTTTTCAAGCAATTCCATTTATTAATATACCGTCTCTTTCAGTCTTTGATATAAAAGCTAACTGACTAATTTTAGCAGATTTAAAAAAATTAATTAAGTTAGTCATTTGTAACAAATAAATATTATATTCCTAAGATATCCTTACTAATCAAGTGTCATTTATAAAACATTTAATATATGTAACTATTAAAAAAACT